GTTAAAGAATCAGTTCTGGATCCGTATCCAAGACATGTCTGGATTGATCAAGTTCAAACTTCACACACACATGGTACATCATGTCACAAATAGATATGTGCATTTGTTTCATGATCTGCTTAACAATAGCGGAATGATGGCCATTTTAAGGCCGAAAATGCATCAAAATCACATATTTTCACAATTCCAGAACCGGATCTCAGTCATGCATGGATGGATTTTGTTCAGATTTAGCACAATGTGTTGTACATATGCAGGTGCATTTCGGTCATGATCTGCTTTGAATGTATATGTCACTCAAATATGAACGGAACGGGGACGTGTCATTGACAATGACTTGTTTTTAATAAGTCCCCCAGAGAAATTTCTAGGTGTGAACAAACTAGGTTAAAATATTTAGAGAATATCTCCCAATCAGACGATGGTTAGTTTATCTGTAAATGTATAAAAAAAATATTTTATTATGCTGTTGAGCGGTTCAAAATGTGCATGGACATCCTAAATTTAAAAAGTCTCGGTATGGACTGATTGTATGCTGAATAAGACCTAAATTTGTCCACCAATCTAGTGAATTCTGTCCAATGTCTTTCATCTTGTGTTCGCCATGGGGTAGCTTACCTAGTTATTAACATATATAATTGAGCTGTGGTAATTTGTTCGCTGGTTCCCAGCGTCCTTTGCGAATGGTAGGTAGGACGCAGGTAACTAGTAATCGCCATATTGTTCCATTTGGGCCGGTTTTCCGGCCGGAAGGAACGCGACTGGGTGACGTAATTTGAAAACATTCCAAGTTCCGTTCTGCGTAAACATGTCTAAATAAAGCCATGCTCAAACATACTGCCTGCTTAGATTTACACATTTGAAATGTTTCTGACATTCCTCGCTGTTTCTGTGAAAATTTATAGCAAAAGAAACAGTTTTTTATTCACCCAACTTTCGAAAGTAAAAGGAAACCCCTGAACGGCCACGAGCGTAAGCGCTGCCGTCAGGTAACCAAGGGAAATAGAACAAGCAACGAGAAAGTGACGGACCAATCAGAATGCCGGATTCATTACTAGTTACCGGCCTCTTGTGGCTTGGTACGCCATGACACTTGAGGCGGGAACCAGCCAATGG